GCCATTTGCTTTTGTAACTTAAAGTCCATTCAAGACTCCTTAATTATTCTTTTGCCAATTACTGGCTCTTCTAGGGCCACTATATTTGGCCTCATCTGTTTGAACATCTCAGTGAGTGTGTCCACTGAAAATGGTTCTTCGCTTTGCGCGACGACCTGAGTTTCTTCCCCGTCTTGTACCACTCTGACAGGTCCATAGTTTCCTTCGTACATGAACTTTTCCACCGAGTTTGCTTCTGCGACAAAAGGCCTATGATCGGCCTGTACCACCTCTGCTTCGCCTTTGTCATTCCAAAAAATCAGGTATTGATGGAGCGACGAGGGTATACAGCGACTTTCGTGTATCCAATCTCTTCCTAGGAGCACGTTGTAACTAGTAGGACCATCTATTACAAAGAAGACAGTGGTCCTAGTAGTCGTACCTATAGTTATGTCTAATGGCATAACTCCCTTAGCTGAAGTTGCTCCTCCATTGAAGCTAGTAAGGATGACTTCTGTAGGAATCATGCCACCCTCTGTTTTTGCGAACTTTCTCATCATCCTGGATGGAATGGTGTTTATAGCTGCTCCATTGTCGACAAGCACTTTTGTCACTGGGACGCCGTTAACTAGAGCTTTAACGTATAATGGCCTCAAGTGTTTAGTCAATTTCATGGCTAGCCGTTTAAAAATAACCTTTTCGGCAGCCTCTATTTCTACCTCTTGCTTGTTTTCTGTCGAATTATCCCCCTGTGATAAGTCGACGTGCAGTATATCAGGCTGATCCTCTGTTTCCTGAACTTCCTTCTTACTTTTTTCTAATGCTTCCTCATCAGTTATCCAACCTGTGGGAGGGGGCTTTATTCTTGGAGGTGACCCATACTTTTCAGAGCGAGACACTCTCTTCTTCCTTTTGGGTGTCCCATATAGTACGTAGAAATTGAAAGGACGCCCAGATGGCTCCCCCAGCAAGTCTACTTCGCGAACTCCCTCTTGATGTAGTTGCTTAAACAGAGTATGTGCGATACTCCTCTCTTTTTCCTTTCTGCTTCTAGATCGATTTCTTCTTCAATGTCCGTCATCCCATCGTCTTCTTCGTCGTTGTAGGCCTCTCCAGAAGTCTGGCCTTCTTCACATACCAACACGCAGGCTTCTTCTTCGTTGTCCTCCCTCTCTTCTTCCTTTTCCTTATTCTTGAATTCATTGGCCAGTAGGTAATTATTGGCCACGACAGGAGGCAACGTACCGAATTGGATAGCAAGGGGCTGATCTGGATCTTCTTCATCCCTTTTGTCCCTCTCAAACCTTGATCTCCCAGAAGAGGTTTCTGGCAGTTTCTTCATTGATTCATATGTACCGATTTCTTTACTACCTTCGAGGACGTTTTGATTGGTTACCTTGAGTAGTATAGGCACTTTAGGATGTGGTATTCCTTGTTGCTGCCTCATCATCCGTCCGTAGTTTCGTTGGAAACGCCTTTGTTGGGTCCTAATCATCTCATCGAAGGGTATTGCCCTTCCTGCACTGTACTGGAATGAATGCCATACATTTGGCTGGCGAGGTTGCGGCCTAAATGTTCTTCCAGTATCTGCTGGTCTGAACTGCCTTTCAAAAGGCGATCTTCTATAGAATGACGTACCTCGCCCTATACCAGGCTGAATGTTTGGGAAGAAGGCAGGGCGATGAGGATGCTGCCATGTCCCTGGTTTCTCCGTGTCTCCATTTACTTCCCTTTTACACCTTGCACACAGGACGTTTTCGTCCTTTTTTGGTTCTTTTCCTTTGATTCATTGAAAGACACTGGGACGTGGTCTAGGATCTTCTTCTCCGTAATCTACGACCAATTTGAATTTTGGCAACTTGTTCTTGAATTCAGACGTTACCATGTTTACTCCAAGTGGCCATGGGAAAGGGTTCTCGTCCACTACCATCTTTTTCTTATCATGAACGTAATTCGTCCTGATTCAATGGCATCCTGCAATACATGACGGAAAACCAAGCAATTGTTAGTCAAATGTGACCATGCATTATGCCACTTACAATATTTTTTACCCTTAATTTGCTCAGGGTTTGGCAATTTGAGCTTATCGCTCAATCTTATCTGCTTATCCCTATATAATTTATCGAATATAAGGTCAGCTTTGGTCATATCGAACGAGAACGTTCTAGCCTTTATGTTTCTATCCTTTATGGGCTCATCTTTGCCCGATGGTCTAGGTTTGGCCATTATGGGACAAGTATATGTATCCCCTTTGACCAATTCAGCCAAACACATTTCGGCCTGATCGTATGACTTGTCGTCGATGGTATGAACGTCAAAATTTGGGTCTCTGTAATAAGTCCCTTTACTAGAATTTTTCATTTGTTCTTCTTCTCTTATCAGTCACTCATACCTAATCACATTCGCACTCAACTGGAAAAGGTCAGGAAATTCCTTGTCCTGGACAAATCAGCCAAAGTGACTTCAGACTCAGTTTTATAAAACTGAGCGTGAAACAACTGTTCCAGTTGTTGCCATGTTTGAGCAGAGTTCGCTGGTAAGTTGATGAACCAGGAGAAAGCTACTCCTGTTAACGAACTAGGGAAAAGTCTCATTTTATGGTAATCGGTTACATCACCACTTTGCAACGTGAATCGCCCTATGTGTTCTAGAGTAGACACCTCTCCTAAATCGGTAAACAGTGAGAATTCTGGCACTTTGTACCCTCTAGGCCATGGATATGCTTGGTCTACACAATCAGGATATGGCTTTGTGTACGTCGGCCTAATGACAGGACGCACCCCAAAAGCCATCTGATCCTGTACGATTTTCGTAATCTGGTTCCTCAACATGACATTGGGATCATATGGAATTCCTATAGGCTGATTAACCGGTTGATTTGCATGAGGCCTAATGTTTGGTCCTTGATTGGCAACAAAATTACCATAATTAGGGCCATTACCATTAGCCTGGACATCTGTTCCCTCATTACCACGTGGAATATTTTGTCCATTGTTTAGGACATTATCTCTCACGTTTGGATTACCCCCCAAGTTAGGCATGCCATTACCATTGTTTTGATTTGGCACTGTAGTACCCCTTTGGTTTGAAGTAGAGGGACCAGAAAGCGGTTCTACCCCTTGATTCGGATTTAGGACAGAGGGATTATGTCCCACAATTGTCCTAGTTTGAAAGTGGTTTGTAAGAGGTATAGCCGGTTGACATATTTGGCCTACTAACTTATTCATTGTTTTGTTTAACGTTTTTAGTTGTTTGGCCATGTTGTCATAGTGTGCATTCCTATTTTGTGTAAATCTTTCCATATTATGAATACTTTGAAGATTCACCTGTTCAACGACGTCCTGTGTGAGTTCTCCAAGTAATGCACGCATGGTTCAAGGACTCAACTCCGTCATTGGTTCGTAACGACTTACTGCTCTGATTTTGTCCATCTGTTCGTGGAGAGGCATGCTGCTCCTCATATCGCTCGATTACATACTGGATTCCTCCCTGACTTGCTGCTTCCTTATCGGATCTCTGAGGCATATTGTTTACCCTTTTGTACTTTCAACACCTAACACCACTGTCCCACTGGGCGTGCCAAATTGTTTCGCGCGGGTTAGTCGCTAACAATTAAAAAGGATCAGACAATTGTGTAAGGGACAAAACCTCTTGAGACAAAGTCCCAAAAAGGGGTGTTCTTTTATTGGCGATGAACTTTACAATTGGAAATGAGAAACAACGTGCCTCCAAGGGGCGCAAGCACACGAGTTACTGAAAGAAAGTGTTTAAGTCTAAAAACTAAGGAAATGAAAATTACATATTCTCTGTTCGAGAGTTTTGGATTCGGTCCCTTGCTTCTATGTCCTTTCTCCCTTTTGTACTTCACAGACGATCTCTTTGTGATTAACTACTCTAAAAACTGCTCGGTCGTCCTATAACTACCCACTTTCTTCGTAGTGGCCATTTTGTCATGAAAACTGCCTTTTAACTGCTGCCATTACCTTTCATCGTTCAACCGCTTTCGATTGAATTCCTTGAATCGTGGAACGTGATAGGGCTGCTTTAACAACTGCTTTGATAACTGCATTTCTTGATGACCACGACGCGTTATGTTTGTTGATACCTTGTGCGACTTGAAGGTTTGGGCGAGAATAGAGTAACAACTCTAGGCGACCGTATGACACTCTATTCGTTCAGATTCTGGGCGACTTGCAAATTTGGGCGATGGCGTTACCGCATTCTTGGGCCTCCTTATTTGGGTCTTCACCTTGATTTGTTCAATTGGGCTTCATTTTTTGGGCTATCTGATTTGAGGATCCTCCAATTGGGCTTCACTCCTTGGGCTGTTCGATTTGGGCTGAATTTTTATGTGTCAACAAAATAACTAAATATATCGAACTTTAAAAACGTAAGTTTTTAGTGTGAAGTACTACAGCAATAATTTTGTCTTAGAAAGTATGATATTTCTTTTATTACATCACAAACCAAACAAACCAACAAACAAACATAATACATACACACTTACAAGCCCATACTGGGTCTTCACAATACAATTAGGGCTTGGACGCTTCAACCCAATTTTGTATAAGTGGGTCCATCTCAAGCCACTTACAAAACCCTCTTGGGCTAAACTTTTTTAGCCAATTGGCCCAATCCTAACACTCGGGTGTGAGTCTATGGTCTCTCGCTGAATCCTGGCAATAGTCATAAACCTTGTAATTTCTCTGCACCCACCCCATGGCAGCGTACTGCTGGCTGCTCAGCCCCTTAGAGCCATAAGGTGAACCGGTTGTCAGGCGGCACGAGACACCATTACTGGCCTTACAACCAGCTATCTTAAAATTATTGTACCTTCCAACGAACGGCTGGTATTGATAATCAGCTTTGTACTTTCCATTTTCGGTGGCCCAAGACGATGCATCCCATATTGAGCCGTATACCCACATAGGCCTCAATGGGAATGTGGCATCACTCTTTCTTGGATACCTTCTAATTGGCACATCGTCCACAAAAAATCTGCACATCACATCATAGGATAATTAAAAATAATGGGGCAAATTTAGCTTTTTTTTGTCTCATTTTCTTCACTTTTACCTAAATTCATTGAGACCTTTTTTATGAGTTGACATGGGAATCTTTCTCAAATATATACATCAATTATCATTTTTAGTCATATCTTATATGAATTATGTACATAGTTTGGAAAGACCTAAAATGAGTCGAGCTATTTCAAACTTTGGCATCTCGAAACCCTTTACACCTTTAGTGTGCACATCTCAAATACACGTGTCATGATAAATTGACTTAAATGCTTGTGTTTTTGTAAGAATAGGAGTGCATAGTTGCATAAAGGAATGTGCATGCGTGGATATAAAATAGATTTTCTTCCATATATGTGAGAGAGAGAGAGAGAGAGAGAGACGCCATTTAAAAGTCTAAATTAAATTCCATGTAGACTTACATGATCTCACTGGGGTTCCACAGTATGGCATAGTTATGGAAATCTCTTGTTGGGTCGAACCAAAGGCGAAATTTCATCTCTCTGCCTATAATATTTCCATCTCCACTTCCTCTGATATACACATTTGTTTGCAAAATATAAGGTTTATCCTGTGTTGTTCCAAGGAATTCAATATCAATTTCATCGTGGTTCCCTGGATGATCTTCGTCATTTGAAAGCTGCCATATATTGTCAAACAGTAAGAAAATACAGAAAAGTCTAAAAGCTATTGAATATAGTACGATAATATGGTAAGTCGACTCGACAACACAGTACTAGGTTAAAATCTTGTTGGTTGTACCGTCGAGCCTTGTCAAGTACTGTGTATTCTCTTACGTAGAAAGAGGTAATAACTCCGGCAGTGTAACCAGGGTGGAGCTTGATTGCGGCTCCGAAATAACCAGATGAATAGGGACTGAGTGATTTGTAACCACTTCCTGTAATGAAAGGATAAACAGAGTTAAAAACCCACCACACCAAGCAGTTTAAAGTGCAGTAAAATGCTGCACCAAACTAAGAATATAGAAAAGCATATATAAACATAAATAGTAAGTGTCACCTGAGTTTCTGTCAAGCCAAAGAGTGAGAGTTCCCTGGTCTATACGTTGATGCTGAGGACCCCAAAGGTTCCTAAACCCTTGGTTAAACCCCATTGAGCCGATTCTTGAACTGGGGTAGTAGCCAGGGGAAGGTGGACCCTGAGCATAATTTCTGGAAGGGAACAAGAATATGACGAGTAGGGATACAAAGAGAGCCATGAGAAATGAAGGTTGGTAGAGTACGTATATGGGATTGTATTGCAATACAGAGTATAAATAACAAGAATCAAGGGTCCCACACAAAGAAATAATAAGGACGTTGATGGGGATGCACTCAATAAATTATGAGAATATTTATGACAGATCAAAAAATTCGCAACTAGGACTATGGAGATTTATTTTTTTTATTTTTTATTTTTCTTTCGGTGCAGTTTTAATTTATTTCCTTTTATTTATGAGATAGCTTGTGGTTTAGGGTTGCTTATTGTGGAAATGGTAGGCAAAGATATAAGAGTTGAGGAAGTTATTTGAAGACATGTTTAGTACGCTGAAATATATTATACAAACTTATACGAAATTATCCAAGAAATAAAGCTTTAAGGTTGAGAGTGCTTCAAGATCTCAAGATCAAGATATCTTTGTTGAAGTAAAATTTCATAAGATATCAACTTAGATCTCTCTTTCAGCTAGATCTAAATGACTTTATAAGAAAAGATCTTAGTCTAGATTTGATAAAGTATATAAATAATTTATGAGAAATCAAAGTTCATTTTCTATCACACATTTCAATAACTACTCTTATTTATCTATTTATGAATTAATTCATTTTATAAATTCTTTTCAAATGGAGGCTCGACTTTTCGTTTCTTTTCTCCTTCTTTTTTTTTTCTCTCTTTTTTGTTTGCAGTCTTAATCCTATCTGTTAAGTCTACTCTAGCATTATAAATATGTTTTTGATTGAATTATTTGAGAAGTGCATTATTAGACATGAATAAATATATAAATATAAATTATCATTTTCTATATAAAATAAATTCATTTTTATTGTAACTAATATAAAATCATCTAGATAACTAAGCTATGTTAGGCTCTTGTTTATAAACACTCAAACCACTGTTTGTCCATGTATATGAAAGGATCGAAAATACTTTTCACTTATTTTTATTCATTTATAAACACCTCCCAAACATGGTCTAAATAGATACATCAAGCAAGCAAGAATAAACATTAATTAAATATAAAAAATTTGAATTTCTTATAGTACATAGGTTTTATGATTTCTTATTTTTTTAATTTAGGGAAAAATGCACTCTTAGTTTCCAACGTATTCCTCGAGTTGCAAATTTGTCTCCTGTCTACTTTTTGATAGCATCGTCACCACCTATGAGTTTCAAAGAGCATTTGATTTTTAATGATAAAATTCTGCGCCTTTGACCAATAAAAACTCAGTCCATGTTCAGCAAAATTTAAACTTTTTTTTTTTTTTTTTAAGTTAAACATATTTTTTCTGCACACATTTTGTATGACTCGCAACTTATTATCCAATTATTATCTACATAATTTGTAGAATATACAACTTATTATAAGCAATACCAAACAAGTTAATTTGTTTTTTTATTTATTGAAAAGATTACTTAAATGCTATATTTATTTATAAATAAAAAGATAATGAATGAAAAAATAATGCTCTCATAACCGACCTTAGAAGCAATCCCTTCGAAAGTTTGAATAACATGTTTAAATTTCAATCACCCTTTTTTGTTGAATTATTTAGTATTCAATTAGACATTGCATTAAATGACATAGAAAACTCATTTGTTCAATTTTGAAATTATAAGAAGATGCGTGTTCTTTCAATTCTACAAACTTCTAATGTATGTTCCAATATATTTTCCGATGCATATATATATCCATTGTCAAAATAAAAACGCAGCTTCAGCAATAGATTTTTTCATTAATATTGAGCAATACAATTTGCCGCTGAAGAACTTCAATGTTGAACTTTCTCCATTATAAAGCAAATTCATGAGGGGTTTTTGCATAGATCTATTTCTTATAACTTTTAAAATTTATTTATTTTTAGTATATTAATTGTTTGCTTGTGCATAATTGTTTTTGTCTTGAATTTAA